TGTCATGGTGGAAAAAATAGGAGGAGGAAGATTATGTTTGCTAACTTGAGTTATTTGTAAAAATATAATAGATGGATGGGTGGATGGGTGGGTGGATGGATAGATGGATAGATAGATAGAGGAAGGAAGGAAGATTCAACAAGACAAACTACAAAGTAGAAATAACAGCATATACTATAGGAAAGAGTAGAGGGAATGGCTTTTGGAAAAGAAACAGAGATGATACTCTGAGGCAGAATTTTAGTATCACTCTTGTATTTTATAGGAATAAAAACCTATTGTTTCTCATGTATATGACCAAGAGAAAACAAATCCAAGGAGTCTGACCTGTTTATATAGGATATCACTCATGGTAGAAGATGAAGGTAGATAGAATATATACTTTTTAAAGAGTGAACAGTTCTGAAACAACTAAGGTATTACCTAGGAGTAACAAGAGTTAAGGGAATAACACGATCACTTTTTCCAGATCAAAAGTATCACCGATAGTATAGCAGAATTGAAAGAAAGAAAGAGGGGGGGGGAGAGAGAGAGAGAAAGAAAGAAAGAGAGAAAGAAAAAGAAAGAAACATCAATAAAGATGTTACTCTTTTAAATTGGCACATGAGATTTTGTAATTTTTGGAAGTAAAAAGTTACTCCTTTCAAAATAGATAAACTAGAGCCATTATACAAACATTATTTGTTTGTATTTATATAACCACACAACCTTCTTGTGATTCCTGACCAATCAACTTTCTTGAATAAGAAAAACAATGGTTCCACTAAGCTGAGATACTTGAGACTCCACAGAAATGAACGTGTGGAGTCAGTAATAAGAAATGTGGTAAGCACTAACAGGAACAAGATGATTGAAAAATAGTAATAGCCAAGAATGCTGTGTACTTCCATTTCCTTTTATATTAAAACTTCATAAACTTTATGCAAAGTTTCACAAGGCTGAATGACTTCAGAGGAATTTCACTGGACGTATTTCTTAAACTCACTTTATGGTGAGATGGGCAGCAAACAAATTTAATAAGCAACCAAAACAAACTGTGAGTTGCGCTTCATTTCGGGCCTTCAGTTTGCACCAAGTAGCTCTCAGAACCTGCTAACTATATCCACTGTTAATGAGAGGAATTGGAGGCAGATGGTCACAAGAAATTTTGATAAAAATTAGATATTAGCAATAGCAATAGCACTTACTTATATACTGCTTCAAAGTGCTCCACAGCCCTCTCTAAGCAGTTTACAGAGTCAGCCTATTCTGGGTCCTCATTTTATCTACCTCAGAAGGATGGAAGGCTGAATTAACCTTGAGCTTGGTGAGATTTGAAACTGCCAAATTGCAGTCAGCCGGCAGTCAGAAGAAGTATCCTGCAGTACTGCACACTAACCACTGCGCCACCGTAGCATATTGGATGTTTCTTGAGGTGATCATTCCAATAATTAAATATATTATATTGTCCCCCTCATACACCAGATTTCTCTGTGGCTTCCAGCCCAAAGCATCTAGTTTGAAAACCCCTGCCTTAAGAAACATGGATCAACAATGGAGTCCCAACTACATTCTAAGCTGGAATTCAGAAGCTGCTCTTCATTCTTCCATGTGTGCATGTTCCTAGACACACATACAACCCCCAATTTTTTTATTTCAAGTATACTTTTTGCTGCACAACTTCTCTTTCCATTCTCTGGCTAATTTATGGGTTTGGCAGGATGAGTAATTATATTCCTGTTACTCTTAGATCTCCAACAGAATGTCCGGCTGAAATATTAAACGTTTTGACATTTCTTATGAAAGTTAAAGCACAATATAGCTCACAGGTGTCAAATGTTGCCGTCACGTGACGTTTTTCCCCATTTGCGGAGCTAGGGTGGGTGTGGCCTCAGCATGACGCATCTGGCCCGTAGGCCGCCAGTTTGACACCCCTAGTATAGATAAAAAAATGAGCTAAAATGAATAACTGGCATTTCTTGGATGTATTTTTTGGCTTGTCGGTACTGACTGTTCCTATCCCCAAAAGACGCAAATTGCACAGTATATGTAAAATAAAACTATATAACACTGTTTTTCAATGGATGAATTATGATATTCTTTTAGGGTTAGCACCTGGAATCTGAGGCTTTCTACGCAGTTGGCCCTTGAATTAAAAAGAACAAAAATTGTCCTCTAGCAATGACAAGAGTACAGAACAAAACCAATTTCTATTTATTTATATAGCATGTTCCTCAGAGTAGACCTCTACAATTGTTACACTCTCTGCTCTTATAACTGACACAAATCCAATTAAGGCTCGCTTTAATTGAGTTTATGGTGATTGGAAGCACAATTCAGCCAGACAACTGACCATTATTTAGCTTGCCCTCTGGAAGGCACAAAGAACAAAATAGCATCCCTAAGAAAATTCTACTCTCCAAATCTTATAATTAAGAAATGTATCCACCTGCTTGTTGATAACTGCATAAAAGTGATTTGGTACCCAGTTACCTTTGCACTACAGTATTTCCACTCTTGACTTTGACAAAAGTAAACAAGTACTATTTCTAGCTGGGTCAATCTCACTCAGGTCTATTACAAAGCTCCTGTTTATTTAATGTGCGGGCACAGATGCTGACTGATTACCTCACTCAGGGCTTACATCACCTTCACCCCCTTCACAAGACATATACACAGGAAGCCTCAGGTATCTTTCTGACTGGCTGGCAATCCATGTGTTTTTCCAGAGTTGATGTTCCAACCCTCTAGGCAGGCATCTGTGCTTATCCCAGTCATTTTCCCCAGCCATCATCTGACCAATATGATGTTTTAACAGCTGCTTGAAACCCTCAATTTTTTTTTTAAAGAAATCACCATCCTAATGGAAGGAGCAGAGTGCAGAATCCCTTGGTGCTCAAAAAAAAATCCGCATCTAACTCTGTCCATCCTTGTATGGGACAGTTTTAAGTCTGGTTAAATCATCATTAATCTTTAATTTACAGCCCTGATAAAAAACCTTCCCAGAAGAGATGTGACTAATTTTCATTTGAAAAATAGACCATTACAAATGAAATGCATCAGTATAAATGATTCTGATTCAGCTGCACTGCTTGTTTGAAATGGTTATTATTTATATCTTGGATTTATGGTCTGCAAAAGAAAGGAGAGCAAAGCAGTTAACAGAAAATTATATGTATGTATGTATGTATGTATGTATGTATGTATGTATGTATGTACGTACGTACATGTACATGTACATGTATATGTATATATGCATGCTGGTCTTGTTGTATTCGGGTCTTTTCCCATGTAAGATTGAAAGAACTAAATTCTAAAAATCACAATTTCTGGCCAATTTAAAATGCTCCATTGCAAATAGTCCATCTAGTTTGCCAAAAACTAAAATCCAGCCTCAATAATGACGTTTTATCTCTTTATAACAGAATAGCAGAGAAGATGAGATGTTCTCTTCTATCAAAGTGCTCAGTCACTGAGGATCCTCTCTTCTCTTTTTGTTAGACACAACTTCATTAGTGACAGGAGATTGAATGACCCCTTTGCAAATCTTAAAAAACCAAACAGGTATAAGGTAGCTGTTGACATTGAAACGTTTATTTTCAACCATAGGTTTTAGCAAAAGATAGCTGTTTCACTCTTGTTACAAATCATCATGAAAAGATAGAACTTCACTGAAAGAAATCTCTAAAGATCTATGGAGAGATAAGTCGCTATAATTGGGGGTGGGGGTATACTGCAAAAGAGGGGGAGGGAATGGAATCTGTTCAGAAAGAGAACTATTCCTGCCTAGGAAAATTCAGCAAAATGTTCCGTCCATTTCAAAAATTCCAACAAATAAAAGGGGGGGAAAAACAGCCTAAACTACAATGTTATGCTTTGAGATCAAAATGCAACATTAATAGACTAAATATATCTGAACTAAATCAGTTGAACTCCTTCCAAATAATCTCAGCTTAACCAAAGTAATTGTTGTATCTTGCTTTAATGGCAGTATAAAATTTAAAACTAATTTGGAGACAGAAAATGGATGACTTGGTGCAAAGATGGATGGATTTATTTATTTTTTAGACATTTTTATTAGGATTTATAGGCCGCCCTTTTCCCTGAGGGGACTCAGGGCGGCTTACAATCACAGGGAAGGGGGTGCAATATCAGTTCGGGATGGTAGTACCAGCAATGCTGCAGTACTGCTGGCACCATTGAAGGGTGCCAGACCTCAAGCCCTGCGCCAC